TGAATGGCCCAATAGAAAAACAAGTCTTTGCTTTGCTGAGGTGATCATTACCCGTGCTCGCTCTGTCTCCTCCTCCAGCTGTCCAACCTGGTGTGTTTGATGATCTTGCAGGTTGCACAGGTTGCACATAGCGACTCCCTCCGTGTGACAGTACAATTTCAGCTCCCTGTGGTGTACCTGGCAAAATCTCCCCAGATCTAAACAGCAATCACGACTCACTCCAGGACTGGGATCGAGACTCACTCCAGGACTGGGATCGCGACTCACTCCAGGATTTCTCTGGTTTCTCTCTTGTTTCCAGGCTTCACTGATCCGGCACAGGCGGATATTTTTGGACAGCTGAGGTCTTCTGGAGAAGTTATGTCTACATTCTGGGCAGCTGTAGGTGCCATTGCTCTCTCGGTCCCAGTATTTTGAGATACAGTCGCTGCAGAAACTGTGGCCACAATCTGTGGTCACTGGAGAATGGAAAACCTCCAGGCAAATGGAGCATTGTAAATCTTTCTGAAATTCCATCCTGCCCCCTCCCCCACTGACCCTCACCCACTGTCCCCTCCTCCACTTGCCCAGCCCCCACTGACCCTCACCCACTGCCCCTCCCCAACTGCCCCTCCCCCACCTACACAGCCCCCACTGACCCTCCCCCACCTACCCAGCCCCCACTGACCCTCACTTACTGACCCTCCCCCACTTACCCAGCCCCCACTGACCCTCACCCACTGCCCCTCCCCCACCTACCCAGTCCCCCCTGACCCTCACCCACTGACCTTCCCGCACCGACCCAGTCCCCACTGACCGTCACCCCCTGACCCTCGGGTGTAGTGCACTGTCGGTGCAGTAATGCAGACCCGGGTTGATGAGGAAGGGTCACCGGGCCTGAAACATTAACTCTGATTTTGTTTCTTCACAGATGCTGTCAGACCTGCTGAGCTTTTCCAGCAATTTCTGTTTGTGTTCCGGGTTGATGATCTGGCTCCACCACAGAGTTAATTAAGCGCTGGCAGTTATATCTCACTGACCATCACCCTGTAACCCTTCCCAATTTACTGATGGATTTCCAGGCAGTTTTCTGTCCCTCTCTCTACCACACCTCCCACCCCTTTCTGCCCCTCTCTCCACCACACCTCCCACCCCTTTTTCTGCCCCTCTCTCCACCACACCTCCCACCCCTTTCTGCCCCTCTCTCCACAACTCCCACCCCTTTCTGACCCTCTCCCTACCACACCTCCCACTCCTTTCTGCCCCTCTGTCTTTCTCTGTCTATCTCTATCTCCGTCTGTGCTCCTCTCTCTCTGTCTCTCCCTCTGTCCCTCTCTCTTTCGGAGCCGCCGCTGCGGGAGCGAAATCGAAAGTGAAATCGAAAGCGATGTGATAGAGCAGCGCAGCCACTAACTAACCATAACCAGCCACTAACTAGTAACTGAGGCGGCCAGTCAGGGCCAGGAGCTGGGATGTGGAGTGGGTACAGCAAGGAACGGACAGTGTGGCTGGGTTTGGGCAGCTTTAATGAGGGACTCTGGCTAACAGCAATCTATAAATAGAGATGGAGTTTGGATCCGAATGTAGACAGGGAGCTCCGCTCAGCTCTCTCCCCCCGGAACAGCCTCTCCTTCACCGCTTCCACTCCTATCAGATTCCAGCCAGTGGGAGCGGCTCCGGCCTTAGAAATGCAGCCTGCTCCTGGGCACCTGTAAACAGAGGGGGCATATTGTCAGGGCATCCCATAATATCCACATGGACAGCCTGGCATTTCAGCACAGCACCCAATTCTAATTACACACCAAAACACTGCCCCTGGTGCTATCACAGGGTAAACCCCAAATACCGCCCCTGTCAATGTCACAGGGTTAACCCTGCCTGAATGAAAGGAACCCAGACTCCCCACCAGGGTCCGAACCTGTCACATGGCTACTCGCTTTGAATAGTTTCTCTCTCAGGGCCAATAATCAAGTTTCCGACAGGTTATGCTTTATAAATGTATCTCCCTATTAACATTTTTATGAATAAGTGTCCAGAGAGAAAACTAATGTATTGTTTTAGTTTCTCTCCACAATATTGATCTGGGATTTCATGAGATCTCTAGTTTTGTGTAGGTTCCACTAATGCTTAATGTGGGTACAAACAGCTGATCTAGAGAGGCAGAATATTTCGATAGGTTAAATGGACACTGCAATGTTTTAGTAATCCAGCAGGAATTGAATATGTGGATTTTCAGTGAATTTGGCAGATTGAGAAATCCATATTGCAATGTTTTGTGTGTCCCACTGTGTTAGTGAATCAGCCCTGTGAAGATAAATTTAATTCATTGGATACTTGACCCTCCAGATGGTGACCCAACATAAACAATTTTTCCTCAGTTAAAGAAGCAGGAGCCATAAAATAAGTCTCACTGATTATCTAACTACAAGATGCATTGAAATAAAAATGACAGACTTCTTTTAGCACACCAGCTGCTGTAATGGTGAAACCGCTGTCTGTAGCAAACTATTTGATTTTAAATAATTAGAGTTTTTTTTAAACAACCTGCTCAGAGATGCTATGGCACACCCCTGGAGCAGGTGGGACTTGAAACTAGGCCTGCTGGTCTAGGGGTAGGGACACCACCACTGTGCTACAAGTGGGCCCCTGGCTTTAAATAATCAGACTACAGATCAATCTGTGATTCGTTAATGAAGAAATTGCCTGCGAAAAGTGGTACCAAAGGGAACACTAATATTTCCCAGTCCCTATGGCTCGAATGAACAATATTGATTACTAAACAGGATAAGATTAATAAAATATTGCTCAAAAACACAGTTGGTCAGAGGCAGACACGTTCTCCCTGTTGCCAAGCCTGTGGCCTTACACAGACATTACCTTCATCGATAAAAGGAAGCTTGGCATTACAACCCTTTTCATTTGCCCAACTCTCTCTGCACAGCCAATCACAATAGGAGGAAGAGTGTTGGGCCAGTGATTAAGAGGCCAGCTCAGAGGCAGTGCTGCTGGACACTGGACTGAATGGCCACAGCTCACTGGCCAGTGAAGGCAGGCCAGGCTGTGCTGACTCTGGGAGAAGTGGGCAGAATTCTTACTGTCAAGTTTACTGAAAGGTTCATGGGCTGATTTGAGAAACATGTATTCGGCTGGACTCACACCCACAAATTACTCAGAACTTACGTTAATATAACAATCCTGCTGAGGGACTGACCAGCTCTGGCACTGATTAAACATTCGGTTGGTGCCTGCGGTAAAGATAAAGGGGACAGTCAGTAGTTCATGGTCTGTGTATCGTTCATCTATGCTTTTCAGTGAACCCACCCTCAAACCTCCCACTGGATACCCGAACCCACATAGTGACCAGGCTGGAGAACTGGACAGTACATGGTCACATTCCATTCAGGGTACACACAGTACTGACCTGTAATACATACAGGAAGGTATCTCAGAGACAGTCACAGTACATGGAGCATACACACCATAATAACAATGGCTTGCTACTATTATAAAAAGGTGCTAACTGATAAACTGAATGTAATTCACTGAATCTTTGATATTATGACTATTCCCCAAGACATGGGCTGATCCTGCTCTGTGCTGGGATTACTAGAAAAAGGCCCAAGTTCCTGGGATTCAATCCATTATTTTGGAGAAATGGGAGCTGAGGGACAATGTAGTTTGGTTTCTTTGAAATGTGCTTCAATATACCAAGGACTAAAACCAGTGATCCAGGGATTGGGGGAAGAGGTCACAAATTCAGGGAGATTGGGAATAAAGCTGGGATTGGTCAATGCGGGGTCTTCAAGCGCACAAAATGAAGATTTGACAATAGCTGGGAGCACTGGCAGGATGTCCCTGAGGAACGTGTCCCTCATTTCTGGGATGATTTCTGGGACAGTATTCCTGATGTCTAAAGAACAACCTCCAGCAGAGCAGTAGAACCTCAATGAACAAATCTGCATTTTTGTTCTATTTTTCAACTCTGAAATCTGCACAGAATGATGACAGGCACGTCCTCCGGAACTCTACACACAAGGATTACATGCTCAGAGTGCATGCAAACGTTCCCAGTTCAAGCATTAGCTTCACAAATTCAGAATCAAAGCCGAGCATTCTGCTCTGGGATTAGCAGAAGAGAAAAGGATAAATGTCACCATTCTTCAGTGAGCTAATATTGTTAAGCTGTCTATTTTGGTTATTGCTAAGACTACCTTCTCCAACCTTGGTTACATCCTTGTCCACATCCATGTAGCTTCCATTATTCTAGTTCCTGCAGGCTGGCCACCCACCCTTAAAAGCTTTGTGAACTTCAGTTCATGCAAAACACTGCTGCCCTATATCACATGACCTATTCTTGACCTGCTGTGTTCGTCCAGCCCTGCACCTTGTTGTCTCTCTATTCACACCTGTATTCACTGACCATGGCCCCAGGCTCGAGCATACCTCAAATTTAAAATCTAATCTTTGATTTCAAATGTTTTTGTGGCCTCACCCCTCCCTATCTCTGTAATTCCTCCCGTCCCTATACCCCTCCCTATCTCAGTAACTTCCTCCTGC